ATTGTGTGGTTGTGTTTCAATGTGTTTTCAATATGTTTCAACTTGTGACAAAACAATCTGTTCTAACAAAGCATTTGTGTAAAAAGGTTTCTTCCAAATCTGTTACCCTTTCCTCTACCTCTTCCAGTAATATTCCTGTGTTTACTAATTTATGTGAAAGCAAAGTGGCTCAGAAGGAGAAGCACACTTATAGACTTCTGCTTATCTCAAGACTAAGAAACAGGGAGGTACTAGAAGCTGTTAATCTCTCTCTTTGCAAAACAGTCTAATAAGGGACTAGCATCTTGAGGAAGTTGGGGGCTGCAGCTTAATTTTCTTTCAGACGAAAAACTAGAGACAAAGAAACCATCTTGTAAAAGATGAAGTAGGAGAAATCTCATCTTCCAACTGGATAAAGAGAGATCAATTTGAGAAGAGAATCAAAAGAGACAGGGTGTTAGAACTTGGAGTCGCAAACCATATTCCAGCTTCAAAAGAAGGAAGACTAAGACTTAGACGAATGTCAACAATTTTATCAACGCTCTCCAGTCAGCAACAGTACAGAAGTACATGGATACCTTTTGGTAGATTAAATTGGACATTAAATCGGACATTATTCCTCCATCTCTTCCGCAACATTTAGTTTGGGCAACCTTAATCATTGTGACCTGTACGTGGCTATGTAAGCATTATTTTGTTGTATTCTTTTAACTACCTATAACCATTACTAATCTGAATTAAGAAACGTTTTTTGTATAAGATTTATGTCAGTCTTTACTTCACTGCAGGGTTAAAATGGAAATCAACAACAACAACAAGATTACATTTGTATAGAGCTTTTCACGTCAGGAGGATGTCTCAAGGCCCTGGGCAGAGTACAGCATTTAAGACCCGAGCTGCGGTCTCGGGGGGGAAGGGAGGGGAAGGGGGGTGGCTGATGGCATGGACGAAGAGGAGGGTCTTGAGGCGGGACTTGAAGGAGGCTAAGGAGGGGGCGAGGTGGAGAGTGGGGGATGGAATTCCAGAGTTGGGGGCAGAGTGGCTGAAGGCTCTCCCGCCAATCGTGGGGCGGGTGGGTCAGGGGACGTGGAGCAGGCCGGAGCCAGCTGAGCGGAGGGAACGGGCGGATTGGTAGGGGGTTAGGAGGTCGCAGAGGTAGGGTGGGTCGAGGCCATGGAGAGCTTTGTGTGTGAGGACCAGGATCTTGAACTGGATCCTCTGAAGGATCGGGAGGCAATGGAGTCGGGCGAGAGTGGGGGAGATGGGGTCACGGAGTTTGGTGCGGGAGAGGACACGGGCTGCAGAGTTCTGGATTATCCGCAGCCTGTGGAGGGAGAAGTTGGGAAAGCCGACAAGCAGGGTGTGTGCATAGTCGAGCCTGGAGGTGATGAAGGCATGAACAAGAGTTTTAGCGGTCTGAGGGGTGAGGTAGTGGCAGAGTCGGGCAATGTTACGGAGTGAGGGAAGGCAGAGTGGATCATGGCTTGGATATGGGGAAGAAAAGACAGTTGAGGATCGAACAAGACACCTCGGCTCCTGACTGGCTTGATGAGTTGTAGTGTGCAACCATGGAGGTTGATGCTGACAGAGCCTGAGGTGCTGAATTCAATGTTAGCAAGTGTGAAATTATTCACCTAGGTAGCAAGAATAAAAGAACAGATTATTTTCTGGAAGGGGAGAAGTTAGATAGTGTTAGTATTCAAAGGGATTTGGGTGTCCTTGTACACCAGTCCTAAAAAGTTAGTTTGCAGGTACAGCAAGCAACTAAGAAGGCGAACGGCATGTTAGCGTTCATTTCGAAAGGTTTAGAATATAAGAGTAGGGAAGTCTTGCTGCAACTGTATAGGGCTTTGGTGAGACCGCACCTAGAGTATTGTGTGCAGTTTTGGTCTTCTTATTTAAAAAAGGACATACTTGCCCTAGAGGGGGTGCAGCGTAGATTCACTGGTTAGTTCCTGGGATGAGGGGACTGACCTATGAGGATAGGCTGAATAAACTAGGGCTGTATTCTCTAGAGTACAGAAGAATTAGGGGGGATCTTATTGAAACATATAAGATTCTTAAAGGGCTGGATAAAGTAGACACTGAGGGACTGTTTCCCCTGGTAGGAGAATCTATAACCATGGGTCACAGTCTTAAAATTAAGGGCCAGCCTTTTAGAACAGAGTTGAGGAAACATCTCTTCACTCAGAGGGTAGTGAACTTATGGAATTCACTACCCCAGAAGGCTGTAGATGCTCAGTCCTTGAAAATTTTCAAGGACTGAGACTGATAGATTCTTGAAAAATAGAGGGATTAGGGAATATGGGGATAGGGCAGGTAATCAGAGTTAGGTGAGAAGATCAGCCATGATCTTATTGAATGGCGGAGCAGGCACGAAGGGCCGAATGGCTTACTCCTGCTCCTAATTCTTATGTTCTTATGTTCTTATTATGTTTATAAACTGAAGAAAAAAGTAGAGTGATTTACCAATAAAATATTTCTAAAATACTTCTGCTGCTGGGAATTATTTTGTGGCATTTTCTGTTTTTATGAAGGAAAAAGTTTATTCTCTACCCATGTTTTGAAAATTTAGCTGAAGCCAAACTGAATTCCCACCAAGCTATACTCTTCTCATTTTAAATCATGTATCACAAACTCAGCTCTACTCACCAATATTATAATAATTCCTGAATTTGATATAGTGTCTTTCACATCAGAAGGAGGTCTCGAAGCACTTCACAGGATTTACTGTAAAGTATTTTGTAGGCAAATGCAGCAGCCAATTTGCACACAACAATATCCCAATAGTCCACCTCACCAAGCCAGTTAGGAACCTGGGCGTCTTGTTCGATCCTCAACTGTCCTTTTTTCCCCACATCCTTGCCATGACCTGCTCTGCCTTCCCCCACCGCTGCAACATTGCCCGACTCTCCCACTGCCTCACCTATCAGGCCACCGAAACCCTCATACATGGCTTCATTACAACCATGCTCGACTGTTCCAACGCCACACTTGTCGGCCTTCCCAACTCTTCCAAGCTGCAGATCATCCAGAAAACTGCAGCTTGTGTCCTCTCTTGCACCAGGCTTCATGATCCCATCACACCCACCCTCGCCCAGCTCCACTGGCTTCCCATCCCTCAGAGGATCAAGTTCAAAATTCTCGCCTTCATCTTCAAGACCCTTTATGGCCTTGCCTCCGCCAACTCTCTGACCTGCTAACACTTTATCAACCTGTCCGCTCCCTCTGCTCAGCAGCCTGCTCCATGCCCCCCGCCCAGCCCACCCCACCATCGATGGTCAGGCCTTTAGCCTCTCTGTCCCCACCCTCTGAAACTCCATCCCATAGTCCCTTCGCCTCGCTCCCTCCCTTAATAATAAATAATAATAATAATGATCCTTGCATTTGATATAGCGCTTTTCACGTCAGGAGGACGTCCCAAAGCGCTTCACAGAACACACTGTAAAGTGAATTGACTGTATATTTGTGGGCGAACGCGGCAGCCAATTGCGCACAGCAATGTCCCACAAACAGTCGTAAATTGAAAATGACCAATTTATTATTGTTTTTTTGTTTTGGAGGGATTATTATTAGGCGTGTGGAGTAAGGAAACTTGCCCAAGGTTTTGCCCTGCCTGGAATTGAACTCAGGTTTCTCGCTTGCAAAGCGAGTGCTCTAACCACTGAGCTACAGGACTCCACATTGCCTTCAAGGCACGTCTCAAGACCCTCCTCTTTGACCGTGCCTACGTCCACCCTCCTTACCCCACCCTCCCTGCCCTTCTTGATCCCAAACCCCCCCACCCCACCACCCACTCAAGTCCTAATCCCCGACTGTTCAGCGCCTTGGGATGTCCTCCTAATGTGAAAGGCGCTTTACAAATGTTATTTTTTATTGTATTGTGTATTGTAATGGCGAATGATCAATTTTATAAGGTTACATTCTTTTGCTCCCAGAAATCTGTTGATGACATTAGAGTAGTCTCCGTGTGTAACCAACAGCAACAGAAAGGGATTAAAGAAATGCATCCAGTCAGGTTTCTTCCCAAAAAATGCTACAATATTTAAATTATTCCATTTCACTATGTAATGTAAGGCAATTCAGAAACAAGATGTAGGAGTTTTGGTCTGTGGTAGCAAGACATTTGATTCTGTAGCCTTAAAGCAGAGCTGATGTAGTAATATTGTAACATAACAGGACATTTTGACTGGATAACTGCAGCTCTCAGTGTCCTTATTAAATAACTACAGCAGTGCAAAAAGCATCGTAAGCATGCAGATAATTGAATCACAGTAAAGAGAGGTTATAATTCAAAATAACTCATTCAAAACAGCTGTCAGCATCTTTCAATTCAAATGGTTTAATGTACAGTATTCTTTTGCCAATAATAATAATCCTTGCATTTGATATAGCGCCTTATCACGTCGTTGAGACGTCTCAAAGTGCTTCACAGAATATACTGTAAGGTGAATGGACTGTAATATTTTGTGGGCGAAATTTGGAAGCCAATTGCGCACAACAGCGTCCCACCAACCGTGGTGTGTGCGCGGATGCAATGGTTCATTTCACTCCAATAAATGCAACAATTTGCAGTCGAGCTCTTTTATGGGGCTGATCCCTTGGGACAGTTCAGAGCAAAGGATGGAATTGAACATAAAACCAACATTGCTGCTTGTGATGGGTTGCTCCAGAGGCAGCTCCTGTCCCGTTTGAACACTTCACCCGGTACTGTACATACTGTTGTGGGAAAGGGTCGGGAGAGTGGATCAAAACCACAGCTGCGGAACGACCTTAACCTCACCCCCTTTTTTTAAAAAAAATAATATATATTTTCATTTCAAACCTTCAGTGCGCACAGACGCAAACGCTGCAGATCAGGAGGACTACTGGGACCTGATCCCTGATGTTACGCAGCGCCGAGAGGGGTTTGCTGGACTTTTCGCCATTTGCGTGTTGTGGTTTTTTTTTCCCTCTCTCTTCGCGTCGTCGCCGATTGCAACAAAGCTCTAAAGCGCTTTTTGACGGAACTTTGCACTCACCTGAGATGCCGCCGCCGATGATGATCACGTCGCATGTGCTGCTGGTCATGTTGCCCCCGGTGCCCCCGGTGCCCCCGGTGCCGCGTGCGCTCAGCCGAGGTTGCAGGCGATCGGGCAGTGAGCGCTGGGAGCTGCATCCGAGAGGTCCCCAGCGTGCAGCTCCGCCTCTGGGCCGTCACTCCGGCCTCATCAGGCAGCTCCGCCTCGGGGACTCGCTGTTTCCACAGCAACTTCCGCCACGGCTGATTCCGCCCGTCTCAGCGTGCGGTTTCATCTCTGGGATGTCAATGTCCCCATCGTGGAGCTCCGCCTCTGGGTCATCACACTGTCCGCCTTCTGATGTCCCCCCCCTACAGCCCAATGCTTCTGCTCTGGTTTGACATTGATCCACTCTGATTCCACTCTCTTTCTACTCCATTTACCTCACCACAAAGCCGGTTGTTAGTCAATTGGCGGATCACTTTCCAGAGATAATAATCCATCCCCCCCCCCACCCAACCCCCACCCAACCCCCACCAAAATTACCGTTTTGTCACTCAATCTAGGACTGGTTGTGGGACACTGCCCAATCGACTGCTTCGGTTCACCCACAAAATAGAGTCAATTCACTTTACAATATATTCTGTGCAGCACTTTGAGACGACTCAATGGCGTGATAAGGTCCTATATCAAATGCAAGGATGATTTATTATTGTTAAGCATCACCGGTTTTCCTGATTGTTTTCCCAAGTCACAGCTGCTTTGTCAAGAAGTGTCTCGGGATTCACCCTGATTGGTGTGGAGAGAGTGAGGCAGTAGCTGCTCAAGCTCTGCCCCTCCAACTGATCAGTCAAATAGTCAGGGATGTGTGATCCACAAGTGGGTTGCCTTATTTTGTGCTTTTTTTTTGGTCAGCCAGATATCTGACACATGCAAAAACCCATCACCATGCTTAGATTTTCATGCATCCCACCACACAAGGAAAATCCCAGAGATAGATTGTTGGAATGGAATGTGCTCTCTCTCCCTGGAGGGATTCATCCTGCTTACTTAATTCTGGAAAGTATTAGGTGCAAGTTGGCAAGGACCCAAGGCTTGGGGACCCCGGAGTGTACATTGGGGTACTGCTGGAGACTAACCAGCAAAAACTGCATAGCTTGCCATTGATATTGCTGTCAGGCAAACTTTCCTGCTGTCACCATCACTGACAAGGCCATCTCTGACCACCATTTCATCTCCCTCAACAACCATATCACTCTCCCCGCTGCTTCCAAATCTACCACCATCTTCTACCGCCCGTGGAAGAAGATCTCCCCGCAATCTCTCCCTGCTGCCCTGGAGTCCTCTGAATTCCTCCCCCTCTGGCCCACCTCTCGGAACAATCCACTCACTGCCCTCACTCTTCTCCACAGCACCCTCTCCACCACGCTTGACGTCCTTACCCCCCTCATCTCCTGAACTGCCTCCTATTCCCGATCCTCACCTTGGTTCACCAGCCACCTCTGCTTAAGGGCCAGGTGCGGGCTGCTGAATGCACTTGACTCAAATCCGGCCTAACGGTCCACCACCATATCTGGCTGGACCTCATTAAGAACTACCTCTCCACTCTCGCCTCAGCCAAATCATCCTTCTATTCCAGGTTAATCCTGGAAGTGAAAGGCAATCCCAGGCTCTTGTTCTCCACCACTAACCGGCTCCTCCGCCCTCCCCGACACGCCTCGCAGATACTTTCCTCCGACTCTCACTGCGAGAAAATGCTGAACTTACTCGAGTCCAAAATTGAGGGAATCCACACAACTGCCATTGCCCTCCCAACTTCCAACCCCTCCCTACCCTCACCCCACACAATTACCCATCCAACAATTACCCATCCCTCCTTCCACAACTTTGAACCTGTCACCTCCTCCTCTGTCTTCAACACAGTAACCTCCATGAAGTCCACCACCTGCTCTCTCGACCCCATCCCCACCCCTCTTCTTAAATCCCAGCTCCACCTCCTTGCCCCACTACTCGCTGACATCATTAACCTCTCCATGTCATCTGGCAATGTTCCTTCCCCCCTCAAAACAGCCACTATCACCCCCACCTTGAAAAAACCTTCCCTCGACCCATCACAGCTAGCTAGCTATCAACCCATCTCAAGTCTCCCTTTCCTATCCAAATCTCCCTTTCCTATCCTTGAGAGAGACGTTGCCTCCCAGCTTCGCTGTTCCATCTCCTCTCACTCCCTCCATGAACCCCTCCAATTGGGTTTCCATGCTGCCCACAGCACAGAAGCTGCTCTAGTCAAGGTCACAAACGATATCCTGACCATGTGTGACAAGGGCTCCCTCTGCCTCCTCAACCTCTCCGCTGCCTTTGACATCGTAGACCACTCAATCTTCCTCCACCGCGTCTCCTCCCACCTCAACCTTCAAGGTTTTGTCCTTGACTGGTTCAGGTACTACCTTTCACACCACCTCCACTTCGTCTCTGCAAACAGTTTCTCCTCCAGCCCCCACACTGTCTCGTGCTGTGTTCCTCAGGGCTCTGTCCGCGGTCCCCTCCTCTTCACCCTCTACATGCTCTCCCTTGGTGACGTCATCCGCAGACATGGGGTAAATTTCCACATGTATGTGGATGACACCCAACTCTTACCTCTCTGCCTCCACCCTGAACTCCAGGGCTACTGAGATCCTGACCGACTGCCTGTCCGACATCAAGTCCTGGATGAGAGCCAACTTTCTCCAACTCAACGTCAGTAAGACTGAGGCCTTCCTGATTGGCTCGCGCCAGTGCCTCTGCACCTCGGGCACTGGCAGCATCAGCCTCCATGGCTGCACACTCAACCTCACTAAGCCTGTCAGGAACCTGGTTGTCTTGTTTGACCCTGAACTGTCCTTTCTCCCCCACATCTGCGCCATGACCTACCACCACCTCCGCGACATTGCCAGACTCTGCCGCTGCCTCACCCCTCAGGCTGCGGAAACCCTCAGCCACATTCATCACTTCAAGGCGTGATTACGGGAACTCCCTGCTCATCGGCCTTCCCAACTCTTCCCTTCACAAGCTGCAGATCATCCAAAACTCTGCAGCTCATGTACTCTCACCACCAAGCTCCGTGACCCCATAACTCCCACCCTCGCCTGACTCCACTGGCTCCCCATCCCCAGAGGATCGAGTTCAAGATCCTCATCTTTAAGGCCATCCATGGCCTTGCCCCCTTCTACCTCTCTGACCTGCTGACTCCCTACCAACCTGCCCACTCCCTCCATTCATAAGGCTCCAGCCTGCTCCATGTCTCCCGCCCGACCCGCCCTACCATCAGTGGCCAGGTGTTCAGCCTCTTTGCCCGCACACTCTTGAACTCCATCCCACGGACCTTTCGCTTCGCTTCTTCCCTCGCATCTTTCAAGGCTGGTCTCAAGACCCTTCTCTTTGACCATGCCTTTGGTCTCCTTCCCACCTCTCTGCCTTCCCTCATCCCTACAGCACCACTCCCCTATGCTCGGACCCCGACACCTGACTGTTCAGTGCTTTGGGACATCCTCCCGACGTGAAAGGCGCTCTATAAATGTAATTTTGTTGTTGTTGTTGCTTGTCCAGCTAGTACCACCCTCCCCGTTAGGGCTTTGGCTTGCAGGGTTAATGAGCTGAGTGGGATAACTCTCTGGCCCCAGTGACTGGTCTGCCTTTCAAGGTCCTGCTAATGAGCCAGGCTGGCTGTGTTGTCCTCAGCAGTGCCCTATAATACTGTGGACCTGCCTGGCGAAGAAAATCCCTCCTATCCTCCTCTCTTTTGACACCATGGATCATTCCTTCCTCCTTGATTACCACTTCTTCATCTTCCATTTCTGTGGGCTTCTCCTCCAGTCCTCACAAGGTCACCAATGGAGTATCTTAGATCTCTATCCTCAACTCCCACTCTTTCCTCATCCTGCATGCTTCCCTTTGGTGTCATCCACAGACACAGGGTTAATATATGCAGATGACACCCAAATCTACATCTGTATTTCCACTCTTGACTCCAGTTCCACTGATATTCTGTCAACTTGCCCATTGGATATCATGAGTCTTAATTTAAGCACTCTTAGATGCCGTCCGGTGTGAAAGGCACTATATAAATGCAAGTTGTTGTTATTGTTAATTTACATCGGAACAAATGTAGGCTATTCAGCCCCTCAAGCCTGTTCTTCCATTCTGTTAAATCATGACTGAGACCCGAATTTCTTGCAACATAAGTTATAGTAAATCACTTTGCAACACCTCTTGACGTGAAAGGCACTATATCAAATGCAAAAATCATTATAACTATATTCACTATATATCACATAAGTTAAACTATCTAGTTTGCCAAAACCGTTATCAGCAGTTATCAAAACGTGTCATTTGAAGAGCAAGTTTATTGGTAGGGTTTGTTGTATACAAATTTCAATGTCTTGTTCAGAAACAATTTGCTTAGATCTGATTTTTATGTACTCATGTGAATGCCACAGCAGTTTGTTCATGCCATGTTGTGGCAGAAAGCGGTAATGCACCTTTTGATACCATTGACAAAATATTATGACATTTATTTTCTAAACATAAACAAAATCAACAGCTGAAAATATGTCACTGTAGCACAACAATTACAAATACACTGCCTCCTCTGATGACAATGCCAGGTCTGTCATAGTTCTCACTTGATCCTTGGTGTGTGCTGCCTATTCTCAGGCAGGAAAGATACTAGCGTTAGCCTCAAAGCTCCTGGGCTCGGCAGAGGAAAACATTTAGCCAGGGTTCCTGCTCCACATTGCTATGCAGTGACTCCTGCGGGAAACGTTCTTGGTTGGCTGGGTTATCCACCCAAACCACAATGGTTAGTCAGCCTATAAATACTCACTCTCCAGCACACACAGGTAGAATAACTACTTGGACAAGGAAGTGGTGGCAAACCAACATGAGCCAATACGTTCAATAATTCCAATGTAGGTAGAACAGGGAATTTTAAAGAGGGAATTTCTTTGTAGCATTTAAGTTTGTAGCAAGTGAGTCTTTACAACATTGCTTCTTATTTTCTCTATACAAAAGATATAAAAAGTGGGAGTTTTTATGGCTTGCAAAACAAATACAGGGTAAAAAAAATTATACCCTTATAATGTCTAATGAGTCTTAAAGAGACATTGATTTTTTTACATAATAGGATAGATATCACAACTTTATATTCATCTGTAGTTTGCCTCAAATTGGCAAAAAGACCATATTCCTTTCAAAGTATGCTATATGAAAAATTATGTTAAAGCAACTGAGAGGATTGATGGAAATGGTTCACCAATTAACGGATACATTAATGGATGGAATTAACCTGGATGGAATGCAGAGATTTTGTGGGATCTTGGTGGAAATGTGATCGTGCTTCAAAGCAGGGAGAAAGGTGTGCATGGAATTTCCTGAACTGAGTGGGGTACAAGATATTTGCCTGACAATGGAATTTTGGAACAGAGTTGATTCTCTGTGGCAGTCTTGGTGGTCTAATTCCTGAGCCAGGCAGGTACATAGTGCTTCAAGGCACTGTTGATGACAGACCAGCTAGTGTGGCTCACTGACAGGACTTGGAGGAATAGACCGTTCACTGGGGAGAGATTTTTCCCACTCAGTTTCTCTCAATTCTGCAAAGCAAAGCCCTCAGGAATAGGATGGTCTAAACTGGGCAAGTCACAGAAAGCTTGCCAGACAATTGCAAGCTCTGCAGTTTTAGCTGGCTAAACTCCAGCAGTAACCCAACGCTCACTTTGAGGTCCCTGAGCTTAGCTCTCGCCAACATGCAACTATTAGTATCCAGGATTAATTAAGCAGGTTGCATCTCTTGGGGAGAGAGTGCACACTCCATTCCAGGCAAGAGGGAAATTTCCATGCAATTGTGGAACTCTCGGTTTATTTGGGATTCTCTTAATCATAGCAACAGGTTTCCACATGTCAGAGAGTCAGCTATCCAACACAAACTTCTGCCAATTTCAGTAAATTAACATATAAAAAAATTAAGACGGCCTGAGGGGACAATAGTACAATAACTGCTCTACTGGGTAATATATTCAAGAAGGAAAGATGCAAACCAAAGTCTGCTCAATTCCAATACACATAATAGTTTCTTCTTAGCAGTTTGCATAGCTAGACTTGTTTGTTCCTTCCCTGACTCCAGGTGGAATGCTGCCAGATTTCCAAGCAATCTGGGTAGCAGCTAGTTTATCTCCTTTCATACTCTCAGTACTGTATCTCTCAGCTTGTCGGATTTATTCCTCACCTTCTGCATTTATACACAGTAACATCTCATTAACCACATTCCTCGCAGCTACAGGACAGGATGTATCGATAAGTAGCTGTCAGTCTTTTTCCATTCACGCAGCGCAAACGGACGGCTTTCAGTTTAGAGGCTTTAGGTTTGCAACATTGGCAGGTGAAGCTGAATGGGTGTTTGAGTACGGTGCTGAATGAGATGAGGGGTTCCGACTTGGAAGTGTGACCACAGCGTCCTTCGCAGCGAGAGAAAAGCACCATCTGAAAGAAATTCACATGCATTAGGAACATGAAACTGCAAGGAGCACACTCCTTTGGTCTCTGATGCACTGGGTCTCTAACACATGCAGAAAATCATCACCATGCTTAAGAGTATCCAAACCAGATTGAGAATTCCACATAGGTATGCCACAGACACATGGAAATTTTCTTGCATCTGGAACAAAATATACATTCTCTACCTGAAGAGCCAAGGATTGGCGACCCCAGACCCCAGTGTTTTGGAATAATGCTGGAGTTTAACCAGCAAATACTGTATAGCTTGCCATTAAGTGCACTTCTGGCAAACATCCCGCTGCTTATCCAACAAGAAGCACACTACCTGTTAGTGCTTTGGCTTGTAGGGTCAACAGGAGCCGAGTAAGAAGAATCCCTGATCCCAGTGGGGTCTGCCAGTCCAAATCTGGTCAATGAGCCAGCCTGGCTGGTCTGTCATTAGCATTGCTCTGGAGTACAGCGGGCCTACTTGGCACAGGAAACACGCTGCCAAGGCTGCCACAGAGAATTGAACTTGATTCCAATATCTCATTGCCAACTATGTCACCCTGGAGCCAATACAGCCTTAATAAGATTCCGCTTACCACCCCCACCCCCATGAGGATATAATAATAATAATCCTTGTATTTCATAGAGCGCTTTTCACATCTTCTTGACGTCTCAAAGCGCTTCACAGAATATGCTGTAAAGTGAATTGACCGTATATTTCTGGGTGAAACGCAGCAGCCAATTGCGCACAGCAGTGTCCCACAAACAGTCGTGGATTGAAAATGACCAATTTATTATTTTTTTAAATTTTTTTGGAGGGATTATTATTAAGCGTATGAAGTAAGGAAACTTGCCCAAGGTTTCGCCCTGCCTGGAATTGAACCCAGGTGTCTCGCTTGCAAGGCAACCGCTCTAACCACTGAGCTACAGGAGTCCATATTTCACTCCCCGGAGTGTCAAATTCACGAGACAGACAAAAATCAGAAATGATTAGGCAAATAAGTAGTATTGTTTAGACTCACTCTCTATTTACATGTTTGACTATGTTCAGAAACTCTAAATGGCAAATGGAAGATTTGAATCCTTGCAGTCATAATTAGTGCTCAGAAAGTTCGACTTCCATCGCTGCCTTTAGGCTTCTTTTCAGGAGCAAGAACTCTTGCTGATTTTTTCTCTTTAGCCCAGAGTTTCAGGCCAGTTGCAGTGTCCCAACTGCTGTCCTGACTGAGATCAGATAATTTTGCACAGAACAGGAATCTTTCTGCTCTAATCTGGCTGGTGTGGGTCACAAGATTACAAGAGAAGTTTGGATGTAGAAGGCCTTTCGGCCCATTTAATCTCATCCTTCAAGAATAACAACCTTACTGTCTTTACTGCAGAATCAAGCTGGTTTGTAAATGAGATACTAGTTGATGCACATACTCAATCAAACACTGAGAGCAGTGATACACAGATAATGTCTTAACATCACATGCACTTAACTTCTCGTCAAGGACAGAATTTAAGGGCATGTATTACAGCAATTTCTATCCAATTGATAACCTTTTCTTTCCTTAGATGTGGTTAGGAATACCAGAATTTTTTCTCATTATGTTTAATGTTTTGAGCTTTAACAAGGATTCTTTGTAATGACATGCAAATTATGTTTTATTTAATGAAGTATTTGTACAGAAACAGGAACACAAGTTGTTATTGTTTTAAATAATATAAATAAACCACGTTATTCATTCATTTTAAGAGACTATTAAGGTCTCATAGGGTAAAATAAATCATTCTGAGATCAAAACAACAACTATATTATTTAGGTTAGAGTCACTTACTTATTTAGAACACAACTTCACCCTAACTCAATAATGTGATATTTTGGCAGTAATTTGATGAGTAAAGAATCATTGCATTTTTTTATTATCAAAGCTTAGAAATATCTGGGACCCCAGTCCTAGTTATTCTTACCTTTGAATTGCACTTGTACGATGGATGACTGATAGTTTCCACAAAGTGGTGCCTCATGCATCTCTGAGGGTCCATGTTTATTATTGCCACTGCACTCCTGGTTTTACAATCTGTCATCTGCACCAATGCTAGCAGGGGGAACAGTGGCATCCAAATTGCCAACTGGGATTTCCCTCTAGAGCAGATGCCTCTCATTATTATCTCTGCTTGTGGAAATATGAGAGTACTTCAAAGCAGGGCAGCTGCTGGTCAATCAGACCCCACAACAGGAACTCAAGCCACAGCTTCTCACAAGAATTCACAACAATTTTGCATTCATTGAGTTATGTGAAACTGTTGATTTCACTGCACTCTGCAGCTTCACCACCTGCAATGTAAAATATAACAAGAACCAAACGTTACTATCACATAACTTGAGTTAATATTACATTGAAGTTCACGCTAAACAGGGAGCCAATGAAATATGTGGGATAGTACTTTATGAAGCAGTTCAAGCTCTTGAAAATATTATATAAAAAACACCCATGATGTTTTCAACCATGATGCCCATGACGTTTTCACAATAAACATTGTGTCAGCAGTTTATCCTTGTTTTTTTACAAATAATATTGTAAATAGTTGTGACAAATGTTACTGACAAACTGTTCTGGGGAATGCAACAGTTTTTCATGCAGAAAAGGAACACCAGTGCTCCAAGGTAAGACATAACTGCAGAAATTTGCCTTTATCGAATTAACTTTTCCAACCCCAAGTGATTCTGGACCAAATAATGAGCAGTTGTTGTGGACCTTATCTCACGAGGAGATGGATCTAGAATTCCCCCAAACCCATCCCCATTGAATGTTCAGGTGAAATACTGATTGCAGGTGTTGTGTTGACTAACTCGCTGCTGCATGCAACAACAACTTGCATTTACACGGGGACTTACAGGTAGGATAGCATCTTGGATCAGTAGGGTTGGAGTACAACTAAGGAAAAAATAGAGAGGGGGAACTGACCATAGGCTCGATCAAAGTCTTTTGGTGGGATTTAAAGATGGATAAAGAGGCAGAGGGATTGAGCAACGGAGCATCTGATGGAAAAAATCCAAAATGTTGATCCAACCTCTGCTATAATGTTAGTTGAAGTTTGATACTTTTATATAGTATATAGTGGCGTCCAGTAGCTCAGTGGTTAGAGCACTCGCTTTGCAAGTGAGTAGACCCGAGTTCAATTCCCGGCAGGTCAGGGCGAAACCTTGGGCAAGTTTCCTTACTGCACACAGAGCCTAATAATAATCCCTCCAAAACCAAAACAATAATAAATTGGTCATTTTCAATCCACGACTGTTTGTGGGACATTGCTGTGCGCAATTGGCTGCCGCGTTCGCCCACAAATATACAGTCAATTCACTTTACAGTATATTCTGTGAAGCGCTTTGGGACGTCCTCCCGACGTGAAAAGCGCTATATCAAATGCAAGGATTATTATTATAAGGTTACAGACAAGCAAAGTCACTGAAAGGTTTGGTATGAGGTAAGGAATCCCCCTTCATGTTGCACAGTGCATATATCTTTCCCCATTTTTGTGTATTCAGTTATATAAACAAAAGCGGCTGCACTGTTTACAAATTTCTAAATCTGCAACGCCTCATAAACACATTTGTTAGTTTTAGAATTTATCTTTAAATTATGTCATTTAATTTTTAAAAATACTCCTTTTGGAGATGCATTTATTTTTATGGATGAGACTGAGGTCAACAAAAAAAATTGCACCACCTCTAGTTTAAAGTTGAGTTTGTTTCCCATTACCGGCTTGACTAATATAAATTTCATGCAAAAATAAATTCAAATGAAGCAATCTGACTAACATGGAGGTCTATTTAGCTCTCATTATTATGGTTAAAGAGCAACATTGTAAGAATTAAAACAGTATGAATAATGCATTGATGCTGTAGCAAAAGAAAGGTAGTTTCCTCTTAGGACTTTTTGCTTAATTTGGGGGCTGATGGCTAATGTTGCTTATTACCAGAGAAAATCAGTGTTTAGAAGGATGATTCAAAATGTTATATAAAATGTGACAAATTGTTGCACTGTGCATGTTCCCGGCTCTGAAATCAGACAATAAAAAATGATGAAATTACATTTTTAAAGCTCCTTTCACATCAGGAGGACGTCCCAAGATGCTGAACAGTTGGGGATTAGGACCCAAGTGGGGGGGGTGGGGATTGGGATCAGGGAGGGTGGAGGACATGGAGGATGGGAGAAGGAGGATGGCCGAAGACAAGGTCGGAGGGGTCTTGAGACGTACCTCGAAGGAGGCAAAGGAGGGAGTGAGGCGAAGGGAATGTGGGATGGAGTTCCTGAGGGAATGGGGGGGCAGGAGAGGCTGAAGGCCCGACCGCTGATGGTGGGGTGGGCCGGGCGGGTGACATGGATCAGGCCGGAGTCTGCTGAGACCTAATTGCACAAGACTGTGTGGAGGCTTGAGGAGAAGCCACTTGTGGAGACAAAGTGGAGCCGATGTGAAAGATAGGATCTGAACCATTTTAGGACAGAACATTGAAAGTTAAGGTGAGAGGATAGGCGGTGGATGAGGATAGAGTGGTTCACAGTGTCAAAGGCAGCAGAGAGGTTAAGGAGGATGAGGAGAATGAGGGAGCCCTGGTCACAGGTGGACAGAATGTCATTTGTCATGTTGACCAGGGCTGTTTCCGTGCTGTAGGCAGCAGGAAACCCGATTAGAGAGGTTCATAAAGAGAGTGTAGGAGAGGAAGGAGTGGAGCTGGGAATCAACAACTCTTTCAAGGACCTTGGAAAGGAAAGCAAGGTTGGAGTTGGGGCAGTAGTTAGTGAGCAGGGATGGGTCCAGAGAAGGTGTTTTTAGGATAGGGGTGATGACAGTAGTTTTAGGGGGTGGTAACTGTGCCAGTTTACAGGCAGAGGTTGAAGAGGTCTGAGAGTAAAGGGGCAAGGAGGTTGAGCTAGGAGGTAAGGAGAGGGGGAGGGATGGGGTCGAGAGAGCAGGTGGTGGGCTTCATGTGGGTTATAGTGGTGGTGAGAGTGGAGGAGGAGACAGATTCGAAGGTGTGGAGAGAAGGTGGATGGTTAGGGGCTGGAGTGTGAAGGAGAGATGGGGAGGAGGGAACGGTTGGGAGAGAAGAGGCAGCTGAATGGATCCCCTTGATTTTGATTTTGAGGAAATCCAGCATCTCCTCACAGTTGAAGTTGGAGGAGAGGATGAGCAAGGCGTGAGAGGGTGGACGGAGGAGCCGGTTGGTAGAAGAGAAGCCTGGGGCTGTCCTTGGCCGCCAAAATTACCTAGTGAAATTTCACATATACGCAGGTCTCCACTGAATGGTCCTCTTCTGAGCCTGAGACCACAGCACCATTGGAGCCATTGTTAATCCACCACTGTTTTAAATCTGTTGCTTTGAGAGTGCATAGAGGGCTTTTACTACAAGCCTGAGGGCAGCCCTGTTCATTTTGGAGAATCATGGGACTGATATTATAATAATAATAATCCTTGCATTTGATATAGCGCTTTTCACGTCGGGAGGACGTCCCAAAGCGCTTTGAAGCACTTATATTAATAAAAACATCTATTTAAACAGCAATAACTTCACAATGTAACTTTCATACTGGACAATGTACAATTGCCACAATGAATATAATAATAATAATCCTTGCATTTGATATAGTGCCTTATCACGTCCTCGAGACGTCTCAAAATTACATGCCATTGCAGTAAGGCTTTATTTGCAATATTCCAATCAAATTAATTGTTTAAATAAGATGTTTTTTTTCATGAAAAAAAAATTCCTTTTCACACACGAGGCAGAATCACTTTGATTAGAAAAACAGCCACTTCATCTTTGAGAAAAGTGTATTAAAAGGAAACATGATCACAAAGTATTTTGTTTCTTTCTGCACATGTACAATTCCATTAATTCTAGAGCCAAACTTAACGTGAATCCAGTTTCAAAATAACTCAAACCTGTCCAAACGTTACAGATCTAAATGTTATCACTTGACATTTGTTTTAAAAAAANTGTATATATTATAGTCGACATCAATGCGCGAAATAAAAGTTAAAAGTATTTCAAACGAAGAAGAAGCCTTACCTTCTGGGAATGAATGAGTTATAAAGTCGATAAAACCACTCGGATCGGGATCAGCTCTTCGCCCCTTTCGCGTTGTTTCCTTCCCTCTTCTCTGCAAAGGCTTCTGTGCGCTTTTCAATATGAAACCAGAAAGTTAGAGGTTTCTGCAATGTTGGTGTCAAAGCAGCTCAGGGCCATTGGGGCCATAGATCAGCCAAGACACCACAACACCGTGTCAGCTGGGAATTCCTCCTCCTCCTCCTCACAGCAGCTCTCCTCTCTCTATCTCAGCAATCACCAACCCTCCCTCATCTGTGTGGAGGTGTTGGGGCACCGAGTGTTTATCAAGTGAGATCAGAGATCAAATAAATTCAGCTTCTTTTAAATACTCAGGACAGATGAGTACACACAGCAGCATCTCACAGGCACTGCCAGAGAGCCTTTTTCAAGGTGCCCTCTGCTAAGTACTTTCTCATCACAGAAGTGCAGAGTTAATACATGGAACTGTCGTGTTTGGATCCTTTTCGCCCCTCACCCCCTGAAGAGGCAGATTCGTTCTGAAATACAATTCTATGTGTGTCGGCTTTCCTCCAGTATCTCCCCCCAAAGTGCCTTTTCACGTGAGTCCAGACATCAACCTTGTTTGATGTGATCTCCTTATCTCAGGGACAGTGAGGGCAATGCTGACTGCCTGGCGCTGCCGAGTGATGTGCACTCCTAATGGAAACATCCTATTATACATGTGAATCGTCAGTCACCTCTCACTGCACTCATCGTCGACAGGAATCTCTTGCTCCTTTGTAGCTTTCGTGTTTGGTAAGTCTACCTCGCACCTGGTAAGTGGAGTGGGCAAGTAACCTTGTCCCAGGTATTTGCTAAGTTTGCACTGTAACCACTGGGAGGTGCACAGAGTGAGTGCCTGGTTTTAGCAGTCTCCTGGGCACAGTATATTTGTTGCAGTGCATTGGATTACAAAGGATAAAATCTGTCAGGGTTCTCCCTCCTGATCACAATCACAAAATCGTCTTGTGCTGACATTGAGTGAAGACAGGACTGGGGGTTGGCTCCTAATAATAATAATCCCTGCATTTTATATTGCACCTATAAA